AAAGAGACTTGGATTAACAAAACATCTACGCTGCAACAGATTACCTTTTCTTCCACATGTGTTTCAAAACATATGAAATCACCAACAAGTGTATCTTTTGGCCTTCTCATATATTCATGTAAGGTTGGGTGACATCTTAATAGACAAAACCCTGAACAAATTACAGTAGTTGCTGCTCCATGCAGTCCTCGTAACCAAATGTGGCAAAAACTAAAAATCTTTGTGCAACCAATTTGAATTTGGAATGCCAAGTTTACTTATTTTCATAACATTCAGCAGTAAATGTGAAACTATTCAGTTAAACAGCATTTGCTGATATCATGGGGTTCCTAGTACAAATCCTTGAGGCTCTTCAACTTGCCTGAAAATATTAACACTCATAACAAATCATGGAGAAACCGACTCAGGTTCATAAAACTACTGTGGAGAGCAACTCATTTTGTTACCTTCACAGATCAATGTGGTTATATATAATAATGTACTGTAGTTTCACAGTTTGAATCGACATTTACAAGAAATGGTAAAAAGCTGTCATCATATCTTGCTTAAGGTTTGAGCACAGAGGTTTAAAGCTGCATAAAGTTTATTTGAAATACACTAACACTTTAGAAGACAGACACCTCCTACCACCTAAGTAAGATCTGTTGGTTGAGTACATTTTATGCGCGAACTCACAACAAACTGTCTTTGAAGTTATCTTCTGAAATGTGGAGGTAACAACCCTAGATATTTTGTATCCGTTGGTCTGAAGCACTACATCGCTCATCATGCTGTGCAGTTTACTGAGATCACATCACATGTTTTCTTTGTGCTGAAATCAAACTCATTTTTCACCTTGATGATAGTAGTAATTAAGTTTGTGGCAGATGCAATAATAAACACAATTATACAACATTTGGAGCACTTGTCTTTAACAGGTTTGAAAACATGTCATATTTTCTGGTTGAATAACAAGTTTAAGCTACAACATAGACAGATTTGAAGAGTAATTACACTGTTTCAGCCAAATGTTGTCTTCTTTTGAATAAAAAAAAAAATGCGAGAGGGAGGGAAAGCACAGGGAAATAGGGTCCTCGGATAAATGTAATCTGCTGCCAGTGAAGAGGGCCAGCCACACCAGTAACTATAACAAAAATGATATCAATATTTAATCACTAGTATTATTACACAGCTGGTGAGGCTGTGTTTTTGGTGTGATATTCTTTCAGAATGATTGAAAATGCAAGAAAAGCCCCAAGTGGATGGAAATGTGAGGTTAAAAATGACTACCAACATTACTTTACTAGGTATGTTGTCCTTATCGGCAAGGGAACAACTTGTCTTGACTCCAAAAAGATGATCATATAGTGGCCAACGTCACACCACTGCGTATGACGTAAAGGAGATCCAAAGCCAAAATTGCAAAGGATAACACTTATTGTTAGTGTAATAATAATAATATAAACCTCACAACAAAGCACTGCTTTCACGATGTCCTTACAGTATTTTTTCGAGGTCAGGGTTGCCTGGCCTTATGAGGAGTCCTCCTTTCATGAGTACTAAGAGTCAGTGAAGACCAAGTCACGCTTGAGAGAAATCAAAATGGATCATATTCTGGGTCGGGCCATCCTCACGGTTATAAGCCACCTCTAGTTTAGCATCCTCAATATCATTAAAAGGTTGCACAGGTTCAGATTCTGAAATGTGTTTTCAGTCTAACGTTTTCCCCTTTATTCCTACTTTAGTAATGGGCATAAGGCTTACCCCAAAAAGGAAATCTGCTGTCTTCCTGACTTATCTGTTAGAGAACAGAAATACTGACATGTAATGTTGCACCCGATGTATGCAAATGTTCTTCTCTTATTTGAGATTAAAGAACAACGCAGCAATTATGTGTCACATTGAAATGAATGTATTGACAGAAACAACAGCTGCGGGTATAATGAAAATGTCCATCTTGGCCTTATCATTCGTACGGATATGCAGAGTGCACTTTTATTCAGATCACATATTTCTTGACTTTTTTTTCTCCCCCCAAGATTAGCTCGTACTGTAGATACATCTCTCTTGATCTGATGAGAATATTCCAGGTTTTAGACGGAGCCTTTCACAGTAGGGGATCCAGCTCAAGACATTTGGACATGGAGCACATGTCAATCTTATCCGTTAATACACTCTGGGTTGCAGTTACAAGAATGGCAAATCAAATTCGGCCCGAACAAAATCACATCAGACAGATGTATAAACCAACAACACCTATAAATCAATTTAACTGTAAGACACACACACAAACACACACAATCTGCACAAAGAGTTCTGATCAAGGCTCGAAGGTTTTTGAGATGCTATCACCTATGGGAGTGTTAGACATGGAACACCCACCGTGCCTGTGCATTAATTTAAAACACTACAGAGACCAGTCATAAACAATGGGTCTGGCAAAGTATTTTGGCCTGAATCTTGATGCTAATAAATAAAGTAAAATCTAATTAATAATTCAAGCTAATCATAGCCACAGAGCTGGAGAACACACAAAGACATATTGGAGCCCGCAGGGGGAAGAGGGAGCTTCCCCGAAGACTGAGGTCTCTACTTTCCTCAGATTTAAATTCAAAGCTCTTGTTTTAAAGAATGCTCTCATAATCCCAACTGGAATCATCCATAATTAACCTGGCAAGCACAATCGTTTACTACATAGACGACAGAGGGGGAGAAATGAATATGGCATCATTATGTCGTGGGTCGTCAAATTATTTCCTCACACATACATGAAATGTTCATGGCTACGGGAGCCATTTGGAAATGTCAATGGTCCATCTATAAAAAGCCAGCTCGGATCATTCTGAATGACTGTGCAAGGTTATTGCTCTTCATCGTGCTAGCATCCAAAAAACACGCGTTGTTATGAAAGCTATAAGATAATAGCCGTGCGTGGTTGGGGCGTGTGTGATTGCTGCCCTGCTCTCCGGCTGTGTATAGGTAGTGGGGGAGGGGTCGCATTCACATTTCCCAGCCAAGGATGAGAGTTGGTGACTGAGGAGAGCTGGGCGGGGTGGGGGTGATGGTGGGTTTTTAGCATCGTTATCCGTACCGTGTGCTATGGCCCATTCATAGGAAGGGGGTGCACATACTGGCCGTTAGCATGCCTGGTTTCAGAGATGGAGGGACAGATGCTTGTCCAGTGTCAGAGCCTCGCTTGCTCTCCCTCTCTGACAGCACCACCAACTCCCTCCTCTTACATAACCCCCTCCCCCTCTCCGGGCCCACTGCCTTCCTTTATTGGCTTATTTATCTCGTTTTCAACCTTTTCATTTTCACCCCACTGACTGCTGCTTTTCCCCCCCCAACATCCTTCCTCACTGAATGCTTCTCAGTATGTCCAGCTCTCTTTGTCACCATGTACATACTCCTGGACTGGATACATGAAAGCCATGTTGGATATTATCTCTACAGAGTTTTTGTTTGGTGCACATTCGCATGATACAGCAATTGAGCAAGGATCCTTCGAAAGGAGAGGACCATATAGTATTGTACAGAGCGGTTAATCCATTAACGGTGACAACATACGATTGAACTTCATATGATCTTTACATAAATCACAATGCATATTTAGATACTCGTTTGCTTCAATGTAAGTATGGAATAGAGATACTGGCAACAAGCAGGATATAAATTAGGTGGTAATACTGATTGAGAGTAAAATGTCGCTGTAAGCAATAAATGCTTACATAATCACATCTGCTGTGAGCTTTCAAATGTGTGAAACATGAAATAAGCCTGATTGGTCTAGAAGGAAAAGGTTGGCAGTAAATTTAACAGGAACCGATAGAACGTGCCAATCTCCTCCTGCCTCCTCAAACCTCTCCTTGGTTGTAGTAATCTGCTAATATCAGCCAGGTTACGGCTGATATATGGGCTCAGCACAGGGGGATCTCTTCCACTGAAATTTCAGCCTCCATTTTACCCCTGTGCTTCTTCTCACCTATCTTCCTCCCAATGCCTCCCATTTCTAGCTAAAAACGAGATCAGACACAAACGGAGGGACTACAAACGATGCAGCGGCTAGCCGCAAATACGAGTCTACATAGACACATACTCATGCACAGCAAGAACCATTCCTTGAATCTCTTGCTCACCAAGCTACCCTTCCCCCACCGTTGCTCACTCTAATGCTCGCATACATGCACCTTCCTTAATTAAAGACTGTGCTTCTGAAGCCGTTGTGACCTTTTATCAACTGTGATTTATAAATACATGTAAATAAATGGAGATAATAGAAACAAAATGGAGCGCATGTGAAGAGGCAGTTTCATTCACACTGTGCGGCATGTATGAAACACAGATTACTGCTGAGACTCCTTTTTCCCCTGACAACACATTTATTATATTGCGATTCTCCTCAGCAGAATGACTAAATAGGAAAAAAACGAAGGCTAAACAGGAAATGGAACTGGTATCAGAGATCGATTTCATCATCTCTTCCTCTCCTCTGAGCCAAATGAGCCACAATCCTACAATGAATTTATCACTGAGAAATCTATTTCATTGATCTAATGTTCGAAGACAGTAATGTCAAAGTAACCGACTATAGAGATCAATTCAAATGATTCCAAACTGCCTCTCAGTGCTGCTTCAATGAATGAAAATGCACCATTTTTTGGCCTACGGTAGCTGCATCAGCATAAGCCTTTGACGACATACACTAGGTGTGTTAAATGTATAAGCATTAGTCATCTGCCTCAAATCCAAACATGGAGATCATCTCCGTGTGTGCAAGGGAACTGGATCAGTCCTGTTCCGTTCTCCTCACTCTGCCACCATCAGAGGAAGCACAGTCAACAAATGGGAAACTGAGGGCTTGAGATGAATACTAAATATGAATTCTCTCCCATAAAGCGACAGCTGATACATGATGGTCTCTGTTTTACTACAGCAGCAGCTCATCGGATCCCAGTCCTTCCTGCCAGGCCCCACAGGCCAGACTATCTAACAGAGTGAGGAACAAGAAGAAGATGAGTTACCTGGTCATACCACTCCCGGTTGGTACAGGTGCACTCGGGCCACCATCCTGCTTGTCCACTGGGGTGGTTGCCGTTTACTTTGGCGCCACACTTGGATTGGCCCTTTGGGTTGGGGCCTCCAGGGCCCCCACCAGACATAATCTTGCCCTTACTTCTCCCCAAAGTGCCCGATCCTCCTCCCATGCTTCCACCTCCCCCTGAGGCCGGAGGGGGTAAGGTCTGGCCTCCTCCGTACCCAGGTGGGTATCCATAGGGCTCGGCCTGCCACTCTCCTCCATACGACGGGGCGTCCATCCTACGCAGGGCAGCCATACGGGTCACCTCATAACATTCGGGACACTTGCAGCAGTGGTGGTGTTTGTGCATGCTGGCTGCGCTGGCTGGGCTGACGCTGAGCGGCGTGGCACTCTGTCTCTGCTGCCTCCTCAGATCTCACACAGCACGCTGTGATCGGCTCACAGAGCGCTAATGCCGACAGAAATAATACTAATCACAGGAATTTCTACAGATTTTCCCTTTTCGTCAAATCCTGTCACTCTCCTCTTTATTCCTCTCGGATGTAGAAAAAAAAAGATCAAGAGGGACGGTAAGCAGCAACAGGAAAACAAAAATACAAAATGGGCACGTAGTCTTTGTCCTCTTGACGTAGAAGATCAAAGGAAATATTCAAAATATTGTATACGACCACACAATCAGAGACCAGCCCCGATGGTAGAAATTTCCTCTTGCTTCTCTTGGTTCACAGTGATACGCATATAAATTCATAGATATATATATATATATTCTTTTGTTTATATATCATATATATTTACACACACAATTACATATAAAAATATTAATATAAACAGACAAGCACAAATACAGTTATGTACAGGGATAAATGTATATATATATAAATATCTATATGCGTGTGTACAAATATATATATAGATATATAAACAATATGTATAAATAAATGATATCCGCAGATGAAATCTTCCTCTGGTAATTCTTGGTATCTTCCCGTTCAGTCAAAATCTCACGGTTTTCCTCCTGCGTTGAAAAACGTTGTCTTTCTCTCTCTGTTTCTTTTCTCAGCTTGCAGAGAGGAGCTGAGCACTGGATCGCCTCTCAGCCAGCTTGCCCTAGATGTGGATTATTCAGAGGGGTGCGAGCAAGCAAGAGGGAGATGGAGAGCGAGAGACACAGAGAGAAAGAGAGAGAGAGAGAGAGCGGCAGGGAGGGAGGGGGAGAGAGATACGTAGCAGCATCCCTCCAGCACCTCAGCCCTGACAGCCACAGCCAATCAACTGGCAGCGCTGCCATCAGCAGCAGCAGCACCAACAGGACTGAGCGCTTCACTAGCTGCTCTTAAAGGGGCCACAACCGCTAAAGCACACTGCTGCCTGCCTTGGGTGAAAAGGTACTGCTTCACAGATATAAAAAGGCACAATGAAAACATTGTATTTATTCATTTCCTCAATTAAAAAGGTCAGCAAGTCGTAGTGTGCTGCATGGCATTGCTAAAGCTCGACCCCAATCCACTAATTGTGAGTCTAATCCATCTTTTTCATCAGACCAATGCAGCCAAAATCCAACTTACAGTGAGCACCCTGTCGCTCTGACTGGTCACTGTTCACCTCCACGGTCATCCCTAGTTCGGCTGCAGACTCAACAGCTTTCTTGAAAGTGATGGCAACCCGGGGCTCTGTGTCACAGCACACAGCTGCAAATTATCTCACAATATAAGCATGTGCAGCAGATGAAATCCCTTTTTCTCCTGAATATAACTAGACCTGCCTCTCAGCAGAGATGCCTTTGAAAGACGCTGCATTACTTTCCATCACTCTTTACCCCTCTTCCTTTTTTAGCATTACTACTGGCAAAGCAGCACTACTGTTTAATTCATGTTACTGTTAAGTCCTGCCCATGTGCAGGATTGGGTAAAAATAAGCACAGCGAGAGAAAACTGCACTCCTGAAGCCTCGTTTAACAACCATAGGGGAAATATTTTATGTTCACAATGATGACATCAACACATGTGTACGAAACCAACAAGATTACACGCTTGGGCTTCGAGTGGGTGGAGGAAGAGATTGAGAGTGAGAATGTGTGAGGGGAAAAAAGAGAGAAGAAGAGACTATATGGCTTTTATGTATCTGTGGCAGTTATATTTTCAGTAATGCGATTGGACTGCCTGTGAACCATTTTGCATGCTTATGAATTTGTGGGTTGATCACAGCTAGATATAAAACATCCTGACACTGAGGGTGAAGGTTTATTTCTTAGAGACCTAAGAGGGAATGTTACAGTGTCGCCATTAAAGCACTGCATATATGCATTATTAATGAAATGTGACGGGGAACAGAGCTGGGTGTGTCTGCATGGGGGAGAGAGTATTTGTACATAGTCTGCATGTTACACTGCTCATACATGAAAGCCTTTTGTGTCAGCACATAAGACACAGTGCCTGTAAATTATAATAACGTGTATCTATGCATCCTTCCTGCAGAATCGAGCTGGATTTTCAGGCGACACTGCATTGTGTTGCAGTCGCACCAGGAGGCACACACAGCAGGCGCACTGACACTAAATTACATGCAACACTAACTCACTTCATTGTAATGATATTATTTCAATGCAACCTACAGAGAATTGCCATCAGAGAGCAACATTTTTAAATAGACCACTTAACCAGTGAATGCTTCAAGTTGTATGTCGGATGCAGCCACAAACCCTGCAGAAGCCAATCAGAGCAGAGGGGCGGGGCTTAGAAGCAGTGGCTTGAAAGGACGATGTAAGCATATCGATCACAGCACACATGACCGAGCACATGTTGCAACCATCCTCCCCTGGCCTCGCGCTGTCTCTCCTAAAAACTATCCACATAGTATTTGACTTACAGAGGGTTTGCAGTAAAATAACAACATACTGTACGACGCACACAGTGAGGACATGGCAGGCAGGATACACATCATATGGACAGGAAAAAGATCCCCTGTGATGAATACACACATGACATCTTTATGGATGACACACACACACACACACACACACACACACACACACACACACACACACACACACACACACACACACACAATATGAAATGTTTATATAGACATATTAAGTGACTGGGAGAAACACAACTGCTATCTTTAAATATTACATAATATAATATATTTAAAGAATTTGGTAGGTCTTTTTAGCATCAATAAATATCTGGTTCTGTGTATCAGAAGGATTCCAGTAAGAGGAATACAGGACGCAGAGTTATTACAGTAAAGGTCTTAAAGGGTAATGTGGTGTTGTTGTACATGTTGCTTAAGATATTCATAACCTTTTATATTTGCTTTACGCTGTAATTACTAAAGAAATGTATTTCTTCATAGCTTTTTCAGCTTCTTTAAGAGTAAACATTTCAGTAGAGAGGTGATAGTGTGAAATGCCAACTGCAGCCCTATTCACGTGGAATAAATTCCACATCAGTAGAATATTGTGTAATCATATCCCATAGCAATGCAATAAATACAACCCTTGCACATATGTTACATTTTTGTTGCGGTTGTGTAGCCTCATTTTATATCCGACTCAATGAAACTAATTTTTTCATGTTGTCGTTTTCAGTGTCCTTGTATTAGATTACATGACATTTTCAAATGTAATCTGCAGTTTATAACGTTATAAAACTGTCACCTATACAAGATTATTGTCCCGTTTGTAGGACATTGCCAAGGAATAATCAGTTACTGGCATATCCTTAATGGAAATACATAAATATTAGAAATGTAAAAAATGTAATGTTTATCTTTATGTTTTTTTAGATAACATGTGGACAAAATGTTCCCTTTCAAATAATAGTGACACAACTTGTATCATAATTTCTGAAACAACATATTGTTACAACCACGGGAACAACACCGCGCACTCGGGTATGATTGAACTGTTAGCTCGTAATTACACTCTGACTCAAATGTAATAACTATCCTGTAGAAAATACAATAAGAACCACTTGACTTTAGAAGACCCCAAAGAATAGCAATATTGTACTCCTTGGACTCATGGCTCTATAATATATAATAAACATCACGTATGCACACGTGTATACATACATGAGTGAGTGGTGTGAGTGTTAGTGTGCAGTCCTTGATAAATATTGTGAACAATTAAACAGCTTTGACTGGAAAGGAGTGGAGCAACAGCATTAGGTGATTTATCTTGTGAAATGAAAGCGCTAACCTCTGACCTTCTGTTGGCAAATGAAAAAGAGGGACCTTTGATTTATGGCATAAACGGGGAAATTATCCAGTGCTTTTGAACGGAAATGCTTCCCGCATCCCAGCTTGCAGCTCCCCCAACACTATGAGCTCAGCCTGCACGGCCCTTATTACATAAACCCACCTGGACACCTTGTAACAAACACACACACACACAAATACACACACACACGTGCTATCATAATGAGCATTACAACCCCCAACCACAGCACACACCATGTACTGAGCTTTTCAGTCATTTCTAGGCATTTCTCAGAGAAGCTGACTACTCCTGTGTCACCTGACCGGATGCAGCACCATAAAAGGACAGTCGGTACTGAGGCAGTCTTAAAGAGGCAGCTCCATATCAACACGTACTGAGCCGCACTACTGTAGCCTTAACTAACTGCAAGAGGGGGGTGAGGAAGCAAAATTCTCTCTCAGGCATCATTCCATCTTTGCAGAATCTGTAAATCTTTAGCACAATCTTTACAGTGAATGCTTCCACTGCTCAATGAATCATAGCTTTGTGAATGTGGAGGGAGGGGGGTACATGGTGAAGCAAGAGAGACCCCAAGACAGGAAGCCAGTCAGACCCAGAGAAGAAAAGATACTCATCAGTTATGTACTAAAAGCTAATGTAACCTGCCAAAGAGCCTCCACGATGCTCTCTTAGCGATGCAGACACTGAAAACAAAAGCTAGATGGATAAGACTCCTATTAATAGGCCTCAGTGGCAGAGAACAGCTGCTCTACACACACACACACACACACACACACACACACACACACACACACACACACACACACACACACACACACACACACACACACACACACACACACACACACACACCTCAAACTGATGGAATAATGAGTAAAACATACACATGAAGCAAAATGAGAAGTGGAGGGATATACAAGATGACAAGAGTGGAAGATTGTATCAGAGCCGCATGGCTAACGGAAAGCGCTTGGTGGAGATTTTTTTGCAGACCCACAAAGAACGAGAGCTATGAAATGGAGCACTAGTAGGAGGTTAAGGGATGAGCTGACAGAAAGGTGAAGGTAGCTGATAAAATATGATAAAGGTGTTGTGGGTCCACGACAGACGCAATAACCGAGGAGAAACCAAACTAGGTGCCCTATGTGTGGGCAGAAATGCAATGACTAGAGGGGGCATTACTGAAGCATGGTGCTGAACAGAAGGGGGAGTAAAAATAGAGAAAAGAAAATAGAGAGAGATGCCGAGAAAAAAACAAAGTGCTTATGTGTCCATGAGTGCATAGGAATGCAAAATAAACCCTGTGCAATTACCCATCCACCTTGTCACAGAGAGCATTGCATGTGAAATCAGTGTGCTTGCTGAGTGTGCATCATCACGATTGTGCTCATATGCGTTCACGGTGTAAAAAGCAGAGCAGAGACAGAAAGCGAGAGGAAAAAAAAACAAAGACACAAATTAAAAGAGGAATGAAAAAGACGGGATGAAAAACAGAGAAGCGAGGAGAGATAGATAGAGAGAGTCGGAGCAG